AAGCATGTGTGTTAGAGGCAGTTCAATGCTCACAAACTAACCAAAAACTCCTAAAGTCACACCACACATCTCTCTGGTCAAGAAGCACTGGGCCTTCAACTGATTAGATGAGGCCCACCTAAATTATGCAGGGCAATCTGTGCTTTAGTGAATAAATACTAATAAACTTTACAGTCTCAGATGAGTCATTAGTCTGCGGAGCTATACTGTTGCAGGACTAGAGAAGTGAGATTGGCATATCTAGGCAATAAGAAGGGGCTGGCTTGCAGCCTGGTTGGTGGTGTGCCAGAAGATTCTTATGTCCAGAGCAGCTTTGCTCAGAGGGGAGAGAAAGGATGAAGTGAGCAGGTGAGTGAGGCTCAGTTTCTCTTGTCCCACATGGGCTCTGGGTTCCCTGGCTTGCCCGGTCCTACCATGGGTAAGCCCCTACATTAAATTGTACTTTGTATCTGTCCTCTCTCTTTCTGGACTTTGAAATCCTTGATGGCAAGAACTAAGTCTTTTTAAAATATGTCTTTATTGATTTCAGAGAGAGGAAGGGAGGGAGAGAGTGAGAGAGAGAGAGAAACATCAATGATGAGAGAGTCATTGATCCTCTGACTCCAGCATGCCCCCTACTGGGAATCGAGCCCAAAATCTGGGCATGTGCCCAGACCAGGAATCAAACTGCAGTCCCCTGGATCATAGGTAGATGCTCAACCACTGAGCCACGCTGGCTGGGCAAGAACCAAGTCTTTTTAAAAATTAAAAAAAGTTGCCCGGCCAGGCATGGCTCAGCGGTTGAGCGTTGACCTAGGATCCAGGCGATCGGGGTTCGATTCCCGGTCAGGGCACATGCCCAGGTCATGGGCTCGATCAATGACTCTTTCATCATTGATGTTTCTGTCTCTCCCTCTCCCTTCCTCTCTGAAATCAATAAAGATATATAAAAAAAAATTTAAAAGTTTATTTTAGCATATTATTTTATTTTTATTTATTTTAAATTTTAACACTTTATTAAATTTATTGGGGTGACGATGGTTAATATGAACATATAAGTTTCAGGTGTGGGTTTCTATGTTACAAGACCTGTATATTGCTCTGTGTACCCACCACCCAAAGTCAATGTATTTTTACTCTTCCAATTTTTATTGATGGAAAAAGCAATATTATAGTAACATTTTTTAAATTCAACCATAATCTCACCACCTGATCACGCCCAACCACAGCAGTCAAATCCTCCGACCAAACACCTTGGTGTAATCCATGACTCCCCTGTGTCTCTCACAACCTACTTCTGATTCACCAGGAAATCCTGTCAATTCTGCCTTCGACGTAGGCCCAGGATCTCCCTGTTTTCCACACCTCCACCGCTGCCTCCCCAGTCTGAGTCACTATCACCCCCCGCTTACGCTACTGCTATCGTCTGCTATCCCTGGACTGCCAGCTTCCCCCTTGCCCCCAACAATCCGTTCTTTACACAGTGGCCAGAGCTGTGCTTTCAAAATGGAAGTAAGAGCATGCCGCGCCTCTGAAAATCCTCCAACGGCTTCACACAATGGCCCACTACTCCTTGACCGCATCCTGCCACTGTCCCCCTTCACTTACCCTGCCCAGTTACAGCCACTTCTTTTCTGCCGTATGTTACATGCCAAGCCGACTCCTGTCTCTCGCCCTGGCTGCACCCTCTGCCCCAAACAGTCTTCTCCTGTCGCCATATATTAGGACCTCCTGCACTCCCGCTGCCCCACCGCCTTCCCTCCGGCAACCGCCACACTACTGCGCATGTCCATGAGTTACAGTAAAAAAATTTAATTGTGGTAAAATAGACAATATAAAAATTACCATTTTAACCATTTTTAAAAGTACAGGAGAACTGAATCTTAATTACAGCTCTACCCTCAGTGCCCCACACGCAGGGCACTCAGTAAGTAGCCCGGAACACGTGGATGGAGGAATGCCGGGAAGGGGAAGTCTGTGCCTGTGCGCATGGGCTCATGCCCCCTGTTACCAGCAAGTACCCGTTAGGAGAGGGCATGAGGGCGGGAAGGTGGCTCCAGCTCTCCCCCACACCCTGCTTTTTGGATCTGAGCTCTAGACAATTTCATCTCCTTTCTTTCTCTCCCCACTTGCATTCTGTGACAGTTAGTTTTATGTGTCAACTTGGCTTAAACATGGTGCCCAGATAGTGGGCCAAATATTATTCTGTATGCTTCTGTGAGGATGCTTTTGGATGAGATTAACATTTACATTGGTGAATTTTGGAGCCCAGAAAAATCTCAGTTCTGATTCCCAGCCCTACCACATAATATCTGAGTCTTTGGGAAAGAAATGTAACTAGTGCTGAATTCCATACCACTTCCACGTAAAGATGCTGTTAGAAAAACACCTAACACCAACTGGCCAAACGGGCCCTTCCCCTTAACACACTGGACCAACAACAGTGACCCAAAGCCATTATAGGCTTCTTGACACTGGGAATATGGAAACTTGAATCTCATAGATTGGCCTTCAACTAAATGATAAGGTTATGATTTGTGGATTTTTAAAGTATATGACTAAAAAGATGTTTTTATCAAAGCCACCACATTTAAGTTAAATACAGGTTATTGAAAATGAATCTGATAACCTGATGACCTCAGAACAGCTTCACTGATTTTATGTATTGTTGAACATGTAGTTTCACTTTATATATAACATATAAGTAAATAAAATATGATGAGACTTACTCTACACAACAGTAAAGAAATAAGAATTTTCTGTCAAATAAGAATTTAATAAAAATTTTAAAATTCTGTCCCTTTTGAAGTTTTGTTTCTTTATTTTATACATTTCAGGACAATAGATGCAAATGGGGAAAATATGCAATTTGCTTTTGTTTTTTTATTTTCATCAAATTTTCATTGGAAGTTCCTTAGAAATCCAATACAGAAAAGAAAGGAGATCAGAAGCAATAACACAAATGTCCATCAGTTAAAAGTATGGATAAATAATTTGGAATAAATCCACAAAATGGAACACTGGGCAGTAGATAGAGATGGCATGGATCAGGTTTTACTAGCATGGCAGTGTGTTTCCAATGCAGAGGCAAGTAGCACACGTAACACACACCCAGTGATGGAAAATTATAGATTCTGTGCTCTGCTTCATAGCGTCCAGTACTTCCTCTCTGTTATTCTTTAGTTAATACTTAATGAGCCTGCCAGTCTGTGCGCTCAAGGAGAGCGGGAGCCCTGTCTTGAGCCCCAGCACCTAGACCAATGTCTGGCACATCATGCATGGCCAACAGGGACCTGTTGAACCAGTGGCAGTGCCTTAATCAAAGGAAATGAGCTTGATCTGGTTGAGCCCTGCTTCCTTTCCAAACTGCTGACAAATCGTCCGTTTAATCATGGGTTTAGAACTTTGCCTAAGATTATCGTCAAGCCCCTGGAGTTTGCTATTTTCCAGTTGATGAGTACTTGCCTTCTTATTTATTTTGGTTCCATTTGCCTCGTCTCCCTCTTTAGATTGTTCTGTGTTGTTCATTCTGTCACGCCCAGGAAAATGCTCTGCTCAAATTGGAGGCCTTTTGAGCAATTGAATGATTGGGTAAGTATCACCTCCCAAGAGAACAAAAAATTGGAGTCACTGTAATTTTATAACAACTATAACCACTTTCTTTCACGGGCCAGGCACTGCAGTTGGTTTTATGTCAATTACCTCTTTATTCATCACAACAATCCTCTGAGGGAAATACTACGAGCCCCATTTTACAGATGAGGCACCTGAGGCTTCAGCAACTCTCAGGGACTCGCCCTAGGTCACCCAGGTAGTAAGAAAAGCACCAAGATTGGAGCCAGGTTTTTGTGACTCCAAGGTCCACACCCTTAATCACTGGTGACCATCCCCTCCTACTCCTCCAGAAGCTGACAGTCCTCTCAGGAAAAAACTAGGTACAGATGTATCATGTGCATCCTATTGGCAATTTGGTGCATGAGAAGGAGCCCTGGAAGACAACTCGCTAAATCAACCTCCCAAAACATTTGTGTTTGTTTAAACAGTGACCACAATGGCTATCAGAGGAGATCATTTTCCAACTCTGTCGCCCTTGGCTCCTGGACCAAAGCACACAAGCAGAAGCCATAAACCCTGATCAGAGGCCTATGAACAGCCTCTCTAAACTGCCTGGGTCAGGAAGCCTTTAGATCAGGGGTGGGGAATGTCTGGCCCAAAAGGCCCATGCGGCCTGAGAAATCATTTGGTCTGGCCCGCCAAGGCAACTGCAGGTGGGACTTGAAATTCAATAAATCTAGGAGCTTTTTTCATAGATAATTTTTTTTTAAATATATCTTTATTGATTTCAGATAGAGGAAAGGAGAGAAGGAGAGAGAGAGAAACATCAATGATAAGAGAGTCATTGATCAGTTGCTTCCTGCACACCCCCGACTAGGGATCAAGTCCACAACCTGGGCATGTGCACTGACAGGGAATCAAACCCCGATCGCCTGGATCCTAGGTCGATGTTCAACCACTGAGCCACACCCAGCCGGGCCATAGATAATTTTTAAGTTGATAATTTTGTATGGCCCAAGAATGGTGTTATAAATATCCAATGGCCCTTGGCAGAAAAACGGTTCCCCACCCTGCTTTAGATAATGCCCCCCTATCCTGTTTGGCTTTTTTGAGTGAGCTCCACAGAGGGAGGCAGTCTCCACTATTTCCCAGGCGGACTCTTTTCTTGTGGAGAGACCCATACACACAAGTAAAGAAAAGGCACAGACGGGGAGACAGGAGGGAATTAAAAGCACAGGGAAGGTGTGGTTGCCCGACGCCAAACGAGCGGTGTTTGGCTGTCCTTCCGAGAAGCCTCTGGCTGATAAACGCTTCCTGGCATTTCCTGGCTGATTTCGTACCCTCACACCACAGGCCCCACCACAGGGGCCATTATGCAAACGCAAATCACCTGACTCAGGCCGGCTGACTCACCGCTCGCTTTTAAATCGCCGCTGGGCTCCGGTAGGGCTGCTCAGGGCAAAGCCATGGCTCACGGGCTCTGCTTCTCCTGCTGGCTGGCGGGCTGCTGGCTGCTGGTGACCGTGGCAGAAGGTAAGGGGTTTGTGCTTATTCCACCGTTGGCCCGCTAATCAATAAGTTGCGTGAAAAGATAAAATTTGGCTCCATGATTATGCATGTCCAGAAATTGAAAATATTTATGTCAGCTTCTTTCTACCAGCCTGTGTGGTTAAAGAGGAAGGGGCTGAATTTTATCATCTGAAGACCTTGGTCTCAGTCTCAGCTCTGGCTCTGTGACTTTAGACATACTTAACCTCCCTGACACCAGTCTCGTCATATGTGAAGTGACGGTATTAATAACGTGCGTTATTACGGGGGTTGTGAGGACCAAATGAGCCATCATAAAAGAAAAGCTCATAAAAGCTTAAAACACTAGTTACTATGGTTCTCAAGCTAACAGTTTGCCACCCTGAATTTCAAGTCTCCCTCCTGCTAGCCCCAGAAGCGCAGTGATGTGCACGCGGTGGGTGTTTAGGCTGTTAGTTGCTCTCATTAATCACATCTATTTAGCTGTGTCTCGGTGCCACTCAGATGAGCACAGATTTCTTCCTTTAGGATTATATTAGATTCTATTTCTCTGCCATTCCTATTATTTTTCCTTTTCTCCGCTATGCAATTCCAAGCGCCCTGAGCCTTAGACTTGGCTTACAAACCCCCGAGGAAATGAGAGGGAAGGATGGGGAAGGGAAAGGAAGGAGATCCTCGGAGACCTGGGTCTGATGTCGGTTCCCCTCTGCTCCAGAGCTAGATGCGGTGCAGGGAGTAGAGACCCAGGAGTCAAACGGAGTCCTTCTCCCTTTCACATGACCCTGGGGGGTTTGCAGGGGCCCAGCCAGAAGCTAATCAGCCTCCAAGCAAGTTCCCTGCTTCCATCCCCCAAAGTTCACAACAGAGCAGAGAGGGGCAGAGACCTTAGAGCCGGTGGACAGACCACCAGAGCTCACCCTGTCCAATCTCTGCATGAAATCTGGTGATCAGGGCAAGGAAACAGAGACTGCAAATAACCCCTGCCCCAATTCCTCAGACAAGGCCCCCAAGCATCACTTGTTAAAAGTGACATCTAAAAGAGACACCGTAAACAGAACTAGCCACCGGACACCTTCTTTCCAGACAGTGAACCATTCATCAGGAAACTTTGCAATGTGTAGCTAAACAGGTTATAATGACATTAAAGGTTTATTCACACCTAAAAGAACAACAATTAAAATGTGAGATATGATTTCTGAACTGGACTCACGCTTCCCCACTGTCCCTCAGACAGGCATCGAAGTCCTTCCAACGCAGCTTCACTCTGTCCAAGCCGCCCTGGTCGCAGCTCATCCTCACTTCCACAGCCCTCACCCTCTCCTCTCCTCTCCCCGGCAGGCTGTGGCTGCTCCCTCCCCCTGTTTTCCCCTCTGTCTGTTGCAATTCTGCGTCACATGAGGATGTTTAGATGTCACTATAGTACCACCTTCCAACAGCGTTCTTAAGACACATGACTTTCAGATCGCACTCTCCTTCCCGGACATCTTAGAGTAACACTTGCCGTAGCGTGTCCCTGGCCCGCGGCATGACTGCGTTCTGCTCCGTACCGCACTCCATGTCGCTGGGGGTCCGCCCTTCCTGAGCTCAGGCCGCGCCTGTCGCCCCTGCGTGAGCCGCAGCGCCGAGCACAGCACCCTGCACCCTGCTGAAAATGACCGGGCTTGACAAAGGCCTGTGTGACGCCTTCTGGGCTCCAAATTCTTCACCTGTAAAATTTGAGATTTGACCAAGATAGCCAGTCATTCTGTGAGTCTAGACAATGAATTGAGTTGGAGTTAACTAAGTTAAAATTCAGTTGAGTTGAGTTGTGAGTAAATTAGTCACAGGATTTATATTTCTTTCTGGTTCAATTTTGAAAGCATCTGAGAAGTTTTCTAATACTCCATGTGCCATGGAAAGGAAGAACTGCATACTTATAAATCAAGTATGAAGCTTACTTCCCTTAAAGTCAGTATAGTTCACTACAACCCAGCTATTGTCTGCCAAAATAACCACAGACTACAGTTAATTACATATATTAAAAAAAAGTCTTCTCATCCTTACTTTCTTTTTAAAGTACTAGTTGTTGGTATGCTATGAGTTTTATGTCTAGACTATAATAAACCCATTTTAAATTGATATGCAAACTCTAAGCAATCTTTTGGCTTAATTTTTTATTTTACTCTAATTTCAAATGTACGTTATTATTGTGAATGTTCTAGGATTGAAATTAAATATTTAATGAGCTTTACAAAAATCTACAGAGAGGAAAATTCAACACCTGCCTGGCCATTTATTCAATATATCAATTACGTACTGGGCACCACTCTAAGCCAGGGACTATTCTAGGTGCTAGGGACATAGCAGTGACCAGCAAAGTCAATAGTCCCTGTCTTCATGGGGGTCCTGTTGTAATAAGGTCTGCACCATTTAGTCCTATCGATAGTGCACAGATTTTATGAATAAAGTGTGACCAGATGGAACCAAGAAAATGGGGCTCCTGCTGACAGAATCTTTCCATAACATTCAAGATTAGTAATAACAGTAGCTACCACCTACTAAATGCGTACTGTGTGTCAGGAATGTTCTGAGCACTTTACGCGTCTTATTTCAGACAGTACAACAAACCAGTGAGATAGGCAGTGTTGTTTTCCCATTTTACAAATAAGGAAAAGGAGACTCAGAGAAGTCAAGGAACCTGTCTATGGCCACCCAGTTGTTAATGGCAGAGCTCAGGAAGCCTGGCTCTAGAGCCTATGCTTTTAAACATGATGCTATCCTGCCTCTCAAAATGTTTTTAATCTCCATTTAAATATTTGACCTCCTTCGGTTCGAATAAGATTGCAGAAGCGCTCTCATCTTTGACACTGAGTGCCTTTGGTGGCATGTCAGTATGTTACATAATGGGAACTGTTTGCTTATTAACAAGTACATTATCCCTGAGAGGTAGGAACACGGTAACTTTTGCAATAATAGGAACCGAGATTTCTCCCAATCAGTGAATTCCACTCTAGGCACTATGCTGGGGATGTGGTCTACAGAGTGGCCAAGTGGGTATTTCAGTGGAGGAGGGACATACCTCTGAGGAGCAATCGCATGACTGATGAGTGTTATGAAAGTGAACTCTCAGGACGCTGTGAAAGCATGCTGCATGTTGCCTGACACAGCCTCAGGGTTAAGGCCTCTGAAGAAATGAGACATGACATCTGCATAGAAGTAAGCCAGGCAAAGATGGCAGAAATGGCGCTCTAAGCACCTGGAACCAAATTTTTAAAGCCCATAACCGTCGATGACTTTTGCCAAGGTAGCTTTTGTGGAGTAGAGGAGGCAGAGTTAGAGTCCAATGCGTTAAATGGGTGGTGGTGGTGGCAGGGGCGTGTTGAGTGGAGTCAGAAGTGTGCAGACTTTTCTTTGCAATGAAAGAAGGAGAAACCAAAGAAGTTCATGGCAGATCACCAAAGGTTTCTGAAATATTAAGCTAAGTAATTTACTTAGAAAGGTAGGGAGAATTTTGGAAAGAATTCTTCAAGTAAATGAAGAATGAGGATTTTGAAGCGGCTTTGTGGTAAGTAGTAAAGGTTTAGAAGACAGCGGGAACTGAGCAGAGCAAGGAGAAACGAAAGAATTAATGAGCAGTATGAACTCAGTCAAAGTCGGAGACCGTGAATGGCATCAACCCACTCACTCAGATGTGTGACCTTAACCTTGTAAGGAAACTGTGACAATTTCCCAAATCAATCCCTGTGGCTCCCACATTTTAGAACACTTGTGCTAGTCAACCAGTGACCTGAAATAGTCACCATGCGTCTAGTCTGCTGGAAGAATGTGGTTTATGTGGTCCTGCCCACGTTCTTAGGTTGGTTAATGGTACAGGCTTGTATCTTGATCTTGAGCCCTTAGAAGTTCCCAGAAGAGAATACTGAGCCCTACTGGACATCCCACAGTCAGAAAAAAGCTGCCTAGCAGGCTCTAACACCCCATTGTCAGCTGGAGGGTTTGGAGAGTAGCCTCGGGTTTTAAAAAATGAAATGAGCACAGGTGTTGGTTGGTAGGTCTGTGCAGCTGGAATGCAGCTTACTGAGTGGCAGAGCTCAAGGCCTAGCTAAGCTGGATCTGACAGCAAAGTGTCGAGATGGGGATTAGGAGTAAGGCTAGCTTCTCCCCTTGCAGCTGGATTCTCAGCTGGTGTAAACATTCAGAACTGATCTGTTGTGTAGGAGGAATGAGGAATGTGAGATTTAATCATCTTCTGTAGTTTGAAATGTCTTAGTCTAGTTTCAGTCATAGGATTTCAGTGTCAGTAGCCTGGACAGGTCTGGGAGAAAGGGTCAGTATTTCCCTCAAGGAACAGACCCATTCAAGTCAGCTTTTAGAACTGGGGGTGGAGTGATTACTAGAAGGATATCTCCAGGACCCTTAAGTACAGCCAGCCTTCAGTTGGACCAGCCCTGGAAAGTCAGGAGCCAAGGCTACTTTCATCACTCTGTTGCCACATGGTTTCTTGTCTCTCTTTGTCTTGGAAAAGCCGCCCCTATTTTATAGTTTCTATGGAAAAACTGGCTTTTCTGCTTACCTAACATTCAACTAGCCAAAACCTAACACTCCAGCCCCTGCCCTACACCTTCCACTAACTGTGTCTCTTGGTTGAAATTCTCAAGTGAGGATCTGATGGGTCAATGGCCAACCAATGAGTGAGTTGAGTGTCTAACAGCAGTCCAAGCAGCCATAGCCAAGGGTGTGCAGGACTGACCTTTCCCGGGGAAACAATCTCTGGAACGGGCTATGCACGCAGGCAGGCAGGCAGGAAGAATATCCAATATAACCACGAAACCTGAATTCAGCTGTTCTAACGGTGGGGGGAATCCAGCCCTTTTTCCACGCCTCAGTACCCCCAACTCCTGTGGGGAGTTCATCTTCCCTTCACTCACACTCAGCAGCCCTTTCCAGGCCTATGTTTGCAAGTCGCTAAGGGAATGAAGGAGTAATTTTCCAAAGGGAAGCTCACTTTTTCCTAGCCAGTTACATTAGATGATATAGCTAGTGGGAAGACCTTGACCCTTGAGCTTTATCCAAATTTCTTCTCGGAAACTAATGTCACACTGGTCCTCAGTGCTCATGCCCCTGCTGCATGTGGAGGCTCCCTCCCTCCCTCCTTAGGGAATGATTTCACTGCTGGGACAAGTGAAGCAGGCCTTTTGGATTAACAGCCTGTTGGAGAGGGGAAGGGGCCATTATTTTTATTTTCTTAACATTAAGTTCTTTTTTCCAACTAATTTTCTTTATTTAGTTACAATTTATACACAATAAAATGCACAAATCATTTTTAATTGAATCTATTGAGGTGATATTGGTTAATAAAATTATATAGGTTTCAGGGGTACAAGTCTATAACACATCATCTGTATATTATATTGTGTGTTCACCACCCCAAGTCACATCTCCTTCCATCACCATTTATCCCAGCATTACCCCTTCCTACCTCCCCCACCCCCCTTTTCCTCTGGTAATCACCATACTATTGTCTGTCTATGAGGAGTTTTGTTTTGGTTTTGCTTAATCCCTTCACATTTTTCACCCCTCCCCTCTGGCAGCTGGCAGCCTGTTCTCTGTATCTATGAGTCTATTTTGTTTGTTAGTTTATTTTGTTCGTTAAACTCCATATATAAGTGAAATCATGGTACTTGTCTTTCTATAACTGTAAAGTGCACAAATCTTAAAGGTACAGATTGATCACATTTTACATATATATACATATATATGTGTGTATAAACATGTGTACATATGTATATGTAAATATAAATGTACATGGTGTATATGTGGTGTGTGTGTATGTGTGTATATAAATAGCACCACTAAATAACAACCTCCAACTCTAAGCTATTTTTTTAACTTTTTTTTAAAAATATGTCTTCATTGATTTCAGAGCGAGGAAGGGAGAGCGAGAGAGAGAGATAGAAACATCAATGATGAGAGTCATTGATCGGCTGCCTCCTGCATGCCCCCTGCTGGGGATCCAGCCCCAAACCCGGGCACGTGCCCTGACTGGGAATCGAACCCCGATCTCCTGGATCCTAGGTGAATGCTCAACCGCTGAGCCACGCCCGGCCAGGCCTTTTAACTTTTTTTTTAAACCACAGATTAGTTGAGCTTGTTCCTGAACTTTATACAAATGGAATCTTTTCCTCAACATAACATCTGTGGGATGCATCCATACTGTTGTGTTAGCGATTCTTCCTTTTCACTGCTGAGTAGTATTTCATTGTATGAACGAAACAGTCTGTTTATACATTTGCCTACTGAGGGACATTTGCATCATTCCCAAGTTTAGGCTCATATGAGTAAAGCTGCTATGAACATTCTTGAACTAGCCTTTTGTAGACATAAGCACTCATTTCTCTTGGGCAAATTCCCCAGAGTGCAATTGTGGGGTCCTGAGGTGTGTCCATGTTTCGTTTCACTGAACCTTGGCAGTTCCTCCAAGCACGCTCCGAGGCCTCTCTATTCCTCCCTTCGAGTCTCGCTCCCTGCTACCCCTCAGGCACCTCCCTTCTGCTTCTGTCATCAGGCCTGCTTCCTGACTTGCATTTTTCTTCGCACAGGACAAAAAGAGGCAGTCACCCCTCCTGGAGGCTCGCTAAATAATGTGGATCCTACAGACTGCCAGATCTTTACCCTCACCCCTCCGCCTGCCACAAGGAACCCGGTGACAAGGATCCAGCCCATCACAAGGACACCCAGGTGTCCTTTCCATGTTTTTCCAACATGGAGGCCCAGGGTCCCCATTAGGTTTCCAAATAGACCTTTCCTCCCTCCAAGGTGCAAACACGGTTTTCATTTCCATCCATTTTTTTGGCCCAACAGTCGTCTTACTCCACGTTATAACTATTTCCCCAGAAGAAGGTTCCGGAGAGGAAGCTCATCTGAAGAAAGCAGAGGGAGGAGAGAAGCCCCAAGCCTGCGGAAGCAAAGGAAGTCAATACCTCAGTAAAGACTATAAAAAGATTCATGTTTTCTTTTTCCGAACTCAAACTATTGAATTTGAAACTGACCTTCGACCTCACTGACTAGAAATTGTTCTCGTTGTCGGCAGTGAAGCTATGGGTGACTAGGTCATTCCAGTTTGCAAAATAGGAGCAATCACGCATTATTCTTATCCCCAGCTTTTTATGATCACAGAATATTTGTGCAAATAAAACCCTAAAATGAGTGGTTCTGATCATTCCTGTCCATACTGAGATGCCAGAAGAATCAGCTCCATCTTCTAAATTCGAGTGAAGAGTATTTCAATAAATTGAGATCGTCACAAACCAAATGAAGACATTAATGACACCCTTTTATATTCACTGGAAAACTTATAGAGCAAGGTGCATTTACAAAGTGAACTTTAAAAAATCAAGTTTTCATAATATAGGATGCTTTCTTTATTCTTTAGTTAATATAAAATTATTTCTATGGGTTTTCGTACATAAGGAGTTCTGTTGCTCTTTTTAAGCATCTTTAAAAAGGGATGTTGGATTCATTTTTTATTAATATTTAATAATTAAAAGCATTAAACTAAAAAAAAAAGACATTATGGAAAACTGAAGGATTTATTTAAAGCATCGCTGGCAGTGATGTGAATAGCGGTTATTTATTCATTTACTATATTTTTTGAGCTACAGTTGGTATAACATTATATTAGTTTCCGGTGTCCAGTGTAATGATTCAATATTTGTATATATTGCAAAAATGATCACCACAATAAGTCCAGTTAACATCAACACCATCTATAGTTACAAATTTATTGGGATGAGAACCTTCAAGAGCCAATCAGTTTTCTAACAACAACAAAAAGAAATTATAAAGGATTAAGCAAAGCAAAGTTATGGGAAGTCTGACTATATATAGATAATACTTTAAAGCTGTCATAAGCTGAATTACCTAACCACAAAACTCTTTTTAATTATAATATCTAAATGCACTTTAATGTTAACTTTTTAAGCAACCAGGGAAATTCGCTTTCTCCCATTATCATCAGATAGATACTAGCTCAAATGATGTACTTCCCCTAAAACTTTAACCTGGTTCCGGGCTCAAAGTCTGATTAAGTTTACATGGATGTTCTCCTAACTCTAGGACTCCATGCACATAAGTTTACTCAACTCTAGGAAGCTTGTATTTCAAGGGTGCAGTGTAAGTAAGACACCCCACACTGCACTCACTGGTTATTTCTTTAGCTATTCTATCAAAATGCTGCCTCCTGTTTGTGCCACTCGTCTTGCCTGTAACATAGGAACTTTGGTTTTGCAAATGTGGCCTGTGTCTTACACCTGTCCTTCCCAGGAGCTATCTGCAAAAGTTGCTGCTGCTGCTTCTACAAAGAAAAAACAACATAAAGATGTGAGGTCACTGGGAACACTGCCTGGGAAATGGAAAGAGACTGCTGTACTTCCTTGCTGTATTAAAAGATTAAAAACGGGGGGGGGGAACCACTATTTTCTTTACTCACCTCATAGCAAATTTTCATTATAAGAACAGATATTTGCTTCAAAATGACAAGCTTAAATAAAACCTGTACTTGAAATCCTCATTAAGAAATTCTATATTTTGTTAATAAACTTGCTCTCTTTTCTTGCTTTCTTTTTGGTTAGTGGGGCACAAGCAGAAAGGGGCCAGCCTTGGGCAAACTTGAAGACAGAGAAAGGTTTGTATGTGAGTCGCCTCCCTTCCAGGACCCCCTCCTTTATCACTCCCTCCCCGCTCCCCACTCCCCGCTCACAGGGCCTCAGTGCCCTCGAAGGCGCTCCGACTGCCCAAAACCAGCCTGCCTTTGGCTGGCCTTCTCTCCCCAAACGTTAGAGCTTTTGCAGTCCAAAAGTTAACTGCTCTGAAATGAGTCCCTGAAGGCCTTGCTGTGTGATATTAAACATCAGGAAAACTAAGACAAACTAAGACAGATTAACACCTTCAAAGAGTTAGTCACTGCATCTATTAGAGAAAGACTACTGGTGTAGCGTTTCATAGTGAGGGCCTTTTGCAAAATAACTCTAGGTACAGTTGCATCGTTTCTCACCCTTGAACGTGTTTAGAGTTGCCTATATGAAAAGCAGCCCCCACCAGCAAGTCAAAGCACATGCCTTTGTGACTTTTTAAAGAAATTACATCCTTTGGGTTAATGAATTTTTCTTTTAAAATACAGTGTTGCCTACCAGGTTTATGGACTCAGGTGTCATCTTCAGTCACTAATCCCTCAAAGTGAACTAGCTGATCAAATGTGTTACAGGTGGGATTGGCCACTCCTGAAGGAATGGGAGTCTGTTGGAAGGGTATGATAAATTTTAAATTCATCTTTCACTTTGTGGTAAAAATAGCCTATGCAAGACTAAAGTTATAATTATGTGGAAAAGGCATAACTTGAATGCAATCATCAGACAAACCCAAATTGAGGGACATTTACAAAACAACTGCCCTGTAATCTTCAGAAATGGAGATGTCATGGTAGACAGAGTTTAAAGATGATTTCAGAGGCACTACAACTAACTGATCCTGGGTGGGAAGGAAAGGGAGAGATTATTGGGACAACTGGCAAATTTCTAATGTGGACCATGTGTGGTAATAGTATTATATCAGTGTTAAATTTTCTGAATTTGGTAATTAGTTAAGAGAACATACTTATAAATGATGTGAAGTATTTGAGGGTGAAGGAGTACAATTTCTACAAATAAATCTCAAATTGTTATAAGAAATGAGTGTGTGTGTGTATGTAAGAGGGGAGGTGAGGGAAGGCAAGAAGGGAGAGCAATAAAGCAGACGTGCAAATGTTTTTACAATTGGTGTATATGGGTGAAGGGTATATGGGAGTTCTTTGTACAATTATTGCAACTCTTCTGTAGTTTGAAGTTATTTCAAAGTAAAAGTTAAAAGACATTTAAAACAACACAGAGGAGTTAGTTACAGGGAGGGCCACCCTGGTTTAGTCGTGGGGGAGAAAGTGCCCAGTTTAAGGCCTGGGGACAGACGGAGGAAATGACAGAGTAAGATTAGATTGGAGGGTGGCCCTACAAAGGGAAAGAAGGTTGAAAAGGAGACTAGATCTTGGGAAAACTATGCTGGGGGAAGTTGCGCTGCAAGTGCCAGCAGCCACCCCAGGCTAGGCTGTCCCTGTTGCTGGAAAAGGAGAATTTGACCTGGGAGGAGCAGCTCCATGTACACGTAAAATGAGATTCGATGCTCTATTCTGGGTTTGAAACTCACATTATTTTCCAGAGATATTTTGTGATTGAAAATTCTGAGCGAAGTGAAAATGCAATGATTTCTAAAGGAATTTTGCATGTTAAGTAGTGCCTTATGAACACATCTTTTGTCTTTCTCGTGTTTGTGTCAGTATCCATAACAGCAAACGTCTCTGCTTACTATTATATTTTCATAGTCATTACAAACAAGGAGAACCAAATAACCTTTTGTGGTTGCTGTAAACTTACTGTAATGTTTGGTAACAGAGTTCATGAACTCCTGCTAAGGTTAGACTTAATAATCCATTATCATCTTTGGCTTGAGTGTTTCTTTGTGCTTTTGAAATAATCCAGTAGTAGAGCAGAAACCATCAGGCAAAATCAGTTTGGGGAAATAAGAGCGAAACCTAGGCACCTGGGGTGGGGCCGGGGAGTGGGAGGGTGGGCCTTTAAGATGTGATCTGCTTGTAAAAATTCAGGGAAAGGTCAGAAAGCCCTTTATATTAATACTTGTTTCTGAGCTGCATCTATTAAATTGGTAAAGTATCACCGTGGGGTTTTATTTTGTTTTTATAATATGTCTTTATTGATTTCAGAGACAGGGAAGGAGAGGAAGAGAGAGTTGAAACATCAGGGATGAGAGAGTCATTGATCGGCTGCCTCCTGCATGCCCCCCACTGGGGATCTAGCTGAAANGCCCTTTATGTTAATACTTGTTTCTGAGCTGCATCTATTAAATTGGTAAAGTATCACCGTGGGGTTTTGTTTTGTTTTTATAATATGTCTTTATTGATTTCAGAGACAGGGAAGGAGAGGAAGAGAGAGTTGAAACATCAGGGATGAGAGAGTCATCGATCGGCTGCCTCCTGCATGCCCCCCACTGGGGATCTAGCTGAAACCCCGGGCATGTGCCCTGACTGGATATCAAACCTCAATCTCCTGGAACCTAGGTCGAGGCTCCACCGCTGAGCCACGCCTGGCTGGGCATGATAGTTATTTTTTATCATGTCTCTCTTCCCCTTAAATTTTATTGAAAAATTTTAAAATCCTCAATACCTTTTCCCTTGGGATATTTCTGCCTTCTGGGTTGTTTTTTTTCTTTAATGTTTAAAATTATGTTGGCATGATAGTCCAATTCTTAATTAGTGATTCAGGTATGATACAATTACTATCACTGGAATTTAAAAGAATTAGTCATGCATGGGGAAATGTGTCTTTAAAAGAAATTCGGGGCCCCGGCCGGTTTTGCTCAGTGGTTAGAACTTCGGCCCATGGACTGAAGGGTCCTGGGTTCAATTCCAGTCAAGGGCACGTACTTCTGTTGTAGGCTCGATCCCCGGCGCTGGTCAGGGTGCATGTGGGAGGCAACCAATCGATGTGTCCCTTTCACATCGATGTTTTTCTCCCTTCCACTCTCTCTGAAAAGCAATGGGGAAAAAATATCCTTCAGCGAGGATTTAAAAAAAAAATTTTTAGAGGAGGAAACAAGACGGCAGCGTAGGTAACAGCTGCACCCCCACCGCCCACAACCACATCAAAATTACACCTAAAATACAGAACCACCATCACTCAGAAGCTCCTGAGACCTGGCTGAACAGAAGCCCCACAACCAGGGAGCTGAAGAAGCACCGAGACCGGGAGGAGGGGCGGAGACATGGGTGGGTCGGGGCTGGATCCCGGAGACTCGGCCGCCGGCCCACACCTGGTGCCGCGGG